TTTCTTTATATGTCTTTCAGTTACTGTCTAGCGCCATTCCTTTGATTTGATACTGTGGGGATCCTGAGTATTGGTTGTAAGTATTGTAAACTTTAATAACTCCATATGTGTTATGTTTCTCCAGTTTAGCCGGTGGTGTTGTGGAATTCCTAAAAGTTACAGTTTCTTGTCTCTGACCTTTAGATGTGTGGTTGTCCGGGTTACTACTACCCACGGTGGGTTGTTTTTGTTGAGCCTGTTTGCTCTTTTCCTGTGTGAACTTTCATTTACTATGGTAACCCCATCCCATAATAGTTTGTGGTTTTTTTGCTTTAAAAGGCCGACGCTTGCCGGCAATAAACGTCGCCTTGATCAGACTCTTGTCTTGGTGTCCTTCCTTTCTCTCTGCCCCATCTCCACCCCGCTGCTCTTTCAGGTTTGAGGCACTGCTGGACAGTGCTCTGCATCGCCGGCTCGCGACATGATACCAAAGTTGTTTTTTTTTTAATCGTATCTTTACTAGCAACAGAGTCTCCTAGCATTTGCTTATCTGGAAACATCTTAATATTGTCTTAATTTTTGACAGGCAGTTTCACAGTTAAAGGATTCTTGGTTGACATACAGGAAAAAGAAAAGAAAAGAAGAAAAGATTTTAAAAAGTAAGGGTGAGGGGAAAAGAAGAGGACAACTTCTTTAGGTCTTTGCAGATGGCTCTTCAGTGTCTAGCCAGCCACACACAGCTCTGCCTTAGCCTTTGTTTCCTTCTTGCATCGAGCCTGGAACTCAGTCAAAAAAGGGAAGCTTAGTGTCTTCCTGGTCTTTTCTAGCATGCAACTGACTTCTAAGTTCCCAAGAATTTGTGGGCACTTTTGAACAATCTGATTTCTCAAAGAATATTTTTTAACTTTTATTTCTAGGTGTTTGGCATATCTGCTTCTTTGTTTTGTTATTGCATCAGTTTTAATCTTTCATCTCTGTTAACTGACCTAATGTTTCCAGTGAAGGACTTTGGCACAGACAGTTTTCTGCTATGAGTAAGTCCCAGTCCTTCAGTCAGCTGAGCAGAGGTAAACCAATTCACTATGAATAAGATCTTCTCTTTTCCTCTGGACCCAGGCTCCAGCAGCTGAGAACATGGCTGCTATCTTTGAGACCACCACCATGCCTGGGACGGGAGAGAACAAGTAAAAATACCGTAAAGTTTTCCTGTGTTTAAATTGTCTTTTTCTTGATTTTATGTTCACTTAGTTGCTGTAAGTCTTTGACTATTTTACAGTTTTAAGTCAATTCTGACAATTTTTCCCAATTTGTGGTTGTTTTTTTATATTGAGAGGGCCTTGAGTCACTGAATGAACCTTCTCAGCTGATGTTACTATATACCATTTTCCATGAACCATTTGAAAGTACATTGCATGCATCATATACTTCCTCCCTCCACACTTGAATAATGTCTCTTAAGAAAACATAACTGTACCACTTTCTCATCATAGGCCTTTGTATCAGTACAATACACTATGTAGTGTGCAGTCAATTATCATTCTTCTTCAGTTGTCTCAATATTGCTTTTCCTTCCATACATGTTGCAATTAAGTATCACACAATGCATAGTTGTGAATGAGTATGTGTGGGTTTTTTGTTTGTTTGTGTTTTCTTTCAGTGCTGGGAATGAACCCAGGAGCTTTGCGTGCTAGGCGTGCCCTCTGCCATGGAGCTACATCCCCAGCCCTTGTGAATATGTTTTCCCTTACTTCCATTACTCAGTTCAGTATTCATTCTCCTTTGTTGGTCCCTTGGTGCTGCCCATAGCCCAGTAAACATTTCTTTCATTGTACTCTTTTCAGCAAAATACCTTGAGTGTACCATGTGCTTCTTTGGGGACTATGATTGATAGCAGTTTTCTCTGCAGCTTATAAAATGCATTTCTTTTCCTTTGTGACCCACTCCCCACTTTTTTTAGCTGGACTGAATATTTGTCTTCCTCATTTTACTTTTTTCCTCTTTTACTTTGGCAGTTATAGCACATATCCTATTTCTCCTTCTTTCTAAATCTTTATTTTTAACAAATGCATTGCAGGAGAGCAGGAGGAAAATGTTCACCAGGCAGTGAATGGCCAGGTGACTACATTATCCTATTATTTTTGTTGTTGTTGTTCTTGTCCCTGTCCCTTCATATTTTTTATCAGTACATATTGGCTGTACAGATTATTGGGTTTCATTCGGCAGATTCATATATGCACACAACATACCTTGATCACTCTTCATCACATGCCTCACCCCCTCTCAGCTTCACATTTTTTGGAGTTTCAATGCTTATGTTTTGATCATATCCATCTCCCCTATTCCCTGCCCTTCAGCCCCTCTCCTTTATTCCCTTCCTCTTGCCTAATTATCCTATTTTTATTCTTTCAGTAATAGCCCCAAGTATTCAACAGACCTATTTTACTTAAGAGGTTTTAGGATATTTTCACTTTGCTAACCTTCCTCTTACATTATAAACAACTGTATTCTTTCTCTTATTAACAAATCAGGCATTACTAATATAGTTGGATACAGTGAACACTTGTGTAGAAACATCAGACTATTTAGCACTGAGGTCACTCTCCCTGTCCACCACAGCCTCTCTTCCTTCCTTCTAAGACACATGTGGAGAATTCCCTCAGTACCAGTCTACTGGTAATGAGTCTTCTAAGGTGTTTCTTATCTGGAAATATGGTTATTTATTTTTTGTTATTATTCTTCAAATACATTTCCACTGAGTGTACAATTCTCAGCTGACATTTTAATATTCTGGCTGCTTGCTACAGTTGAGAAGTTAGAACAGCCTCTGCCCCCTGCTGAAGATCACTCTGTTCCTGGCTGCTCTGCAATCTTGTTTTGTCTTGGGTATGTTCCAGTGTTTAAGTGACGATCTACGTCTAGATTTCTGTTTTATTTATTGTGTATCTAACGTGTTGGTCTTCTTGAATCCAAAGATTCATATGTTTCATCAATTTGTAATTATGAATATCCCACCTTCATTTTCTTACCCATTTTCTTTCCCTGCAGCAAGTATTATTGTTAGACCTTTACACTCTCATTTTTCCTGTTTGTTTGACTCTATTACATACATTATGTCTCTCTGCCTTCTGTGCTGTGTTCAGATCTGTCTTTTAGTTTGTTTCTTCAGCTCTGGCTAATCTCTTTAAATCACAACACTGTGTGGTTTTCTTTTAAATTTCAATAACTATTTTGCAGTTCTAAAAGTTCTTATTGATTCCTTTACAACTTTTCTCATTTTTATAGACTTGGCACCTTGACTATATTTTGAAACATACTTTAGTAATGGCACACACCTGTAATCCCAACAGTTGGGAGGCCAAGTCAGGAGTTCTGCATTGAATTCAAGGCCAGCCAGAGTTTAGAAAGATCTTGTCTCCCCAAAAATTCACCCTACATATTTTAAACATGTTTACCTCACATTCTGCATCGATAATTTTTATGTGTGAAGCTACAAAAGCTAAAAACAATTTGATTTTGCAAATATTTAGGCTGACAATTATTCACAATAAGTTATTCCTTCAAATCTCATTATTTTTATTATTAGCTTATATTTCTTGAAATTTTAGAAGTGGAATTTTTTTGAAGTCTAAATTGAAATTGAATTTCTTTGTGAGGTTTGTTTCAGTGTGTGATAAATGCTTAGAATGCTGTCCTGCTAAGCTTAATTTAAATGAAAATATTTGCTTATATTTTTTTAGGACCATTCAGCTTTTGGAAATTCTATCACTAACCTGAGGGTAGGCTTGTAGTTTTGAATTATCAACAACAAATTATTTTTTGGCTTCCACTGGTAGCCAAGACTGAGATAGGCAATTTTTCTCCCCATCTTCTTTTGTGGATAGACTGTTATCTAGTTTACTCACTGAGGACACTACTTTTTTGAGGTTATTTCCTTTATACAAGCCTAGTGATATCTTTCCTTTCTTGGGCTAGGCGCTCTACTATGTTCAATGCCCTTTATCTTACTTCATTTTATTTTTTTGGTTTTTTTGAGAAGAATCTCCATATGTAGTGTACTGGGCTTGAACTCACTGTGTGTAGCACAGGCTAGCCTGGAACTTGCAATGATCCTCCTGTCTCAGCCTCCCAAGTGCTAGAATTATAGGCATGTGCCACCACACCAGGCTTCAGTGGCCCTTCAGACAAAAGCTCTAGGCCAGGCCACTACAGGCTGACAGAGGTACTAGGCAGGGCTGGCTTTGGGACACACATCACTCTATATTTATGCTCTCCCTTCTTTCATGTTCTTCATCCTGGCTCCAGAGGATTCCTCTTGCTCTCTTGATGTATCTAAAATTTCCCCTAAAAACTTAACTAGTATTTATAAGATGTTTTGTACTGGACAGTTAAAATTTCTCCTATTTAGTCTTCCTAAAACTCAATTTCACATGGCTTTGGAACAAGGATAACCTGTACCTATTTAACTTTTCTCCTACTCTAAAATGGCCACATTTCTGTTTTCCTTTGTGAAGTGTAATAGTGGTATCAACATCTTGGCTTTTTGTTTTTTTGTTGTTCCATCACTATTTAGATTATTTCCTTGAGGCAGTTTCTGAACAGGATTTCTGGGTCAAAGGAAAAGTTACTGTTGACTTGAAAAAAGTTTAGGAAGCAGAACTGAGACGACTTGGGTATAAGAGGTGAAGTGAAGCAGAGGGAGGACTCTAGAATGAGACTGGAGCTTTTGGCTCAGGTATTCGGGTGGACGATGATGTCACTGGCTAAGACTGGGAGCAGAGGTTAGGGTGGGTGTGTGCGTGGGGAACAACAACAAGTTCAGTTTGGACATGTTGCATCTGAGATGTCACATAAGTAGAGACATTTTTAGTAGGCAGTTGGAAATACAGGGCACAGCCTCAGGATAGTGGTTTTTGCTGGGATTCACAAAGTCAGGGTCCCCAGGTCCCTGGGATTCTTCAGAGGTCTGTGTGTTTCTTGAATTAATTTTTGTATTCATTCTTATATTCATTTCAACCATTATCTGGGTTATCTGGATGACTACCTTTATGGGTGCGTGCTGCCAACTACTCTGGTATCTGCATCTGTACTGCTGTGCATCGTCTCCCTGGTGCCAAGGATCACAGAGCCAGGCTTAATGTGTAAGTGACAAAATCAGGTCAAGTGTTGCTGTGTGTTGGGCCATGACAAAGAAGGTTTCAGTCATCATATTAAAGAATGAGAAGGAAAGGATGCTAAGAACAGAATCCTGTGAAGAATCAGTAACTAAGGAATGAATAAAGGGAGAGAAAAGTCAGGAGGTAAACCCAATTGTAAGAGAAGAATGAAGAAGCCAAAAGAGAAGGGATGTCTCTAAAAGAGAACATTGAAAAAGTCCTTAAAAGCACAGGTAGTCTTAGTCCAAACATTTTCAGCTGAACAGTGATGGCTTTGAAGTCAAGGAAATAAATTGGAGTTGAGAATGTGTAAACTTAAGTATGGCTATCATGAAAAGAAAGAATGTTTCTGGATGAAGAATGAAGTTACTATAAATAAGTATACAAGAACATGTGTTGAATGGAAGAAGTGGATATATTTTAAAAATCAGTAGCTTTTCTATACAATAATAATGAGCTATCTGAGAAAGAAATCAAGAGAACAATTCCATTCACAGCAGCTTTAAAAAATGCCCAAGGATCAATCTAAACATGGATGTGAGAGACCTCTGCAGTGGAAGTTACAGAACACCAAAGAAAGAAATGAAGACAATGGAAGATGGAAAGTCCCCGCTATGTTTATGGATTGACAGAATTAACATTGTAAAAAAGGCCAGACTGTCAAACATGATCTACAGATTTAAGCAATTCCCATAAAAATTTCAATGCAATTCTTCACAAAACTAAAAAGGAATCCTACAATTCATATGAAACACAAAAGACCCAGAACAAAGTAGTCCTGAACAAAAAAACAAAAAACAAAGCTGGAAGCTTTACCATACATGGTTTTAAATTATGCAGCAAAGCTTTAGTAACGAAATAGCATGGTGGTGGCATAAAAATAGACAGATGAGAGTAATAGAATATACAGAAGCAAACCCATGAAACTATAGCCATCTGATTTTTATAAAATAGATTTTAATTTTATCCCATTCCTTTCTCAAGTCCCCTCCCACCCCTATGTAAAAAAGCGTTGTTTCCATTTTTTCCATTTTCACTTTATTCTTGTCCTTCCTTCCTTCCTTCCTTCCTTCCTTCCTTCCTTCCTCCCTTCTCCCTTGTTTATCTTCCCATTTGAACATTTCTTTCCCATTTCCAAATATCTATTATATATTTGAGATCTTATTTCTACTTTTGGTTTCTCACACCAGAGGAACAATGAAGTATTTAAACACATGTGTTCAGTTCATTTCACTTAAGAGTATGGTCTCAGGGTCCATCCATTTAGCTGTAAATGTCTGCAACTCATTCTTCTTTATGACAAAGTATTACTCTATTGCATTAAAAAAACACATCTTTATCCATTCATCAGTTAATGGGCGTTTGTAGCTATCTGATTTTTAACAAAGGGGCGACAAACACATGTAGGAAAAAAGACAGCCTCTTTAACAAATGGTTCTGGGAAAACTGGATATCCATATATAGAGAACTGAACCTAGATCACTCTCACCTTGTACAGAAATTAATTCAAAATAAATGAAAGACCAGGTATAAGACCTGAAACTGCTGGAAGAAAATGCTTGTAGGCATAGGTACAGGGAAAGATTTTCTGAATAGTAGTGCAGGAAATAATAGCAAGAATCAACAAATGGGACTACCTCAAATTAAATATTTCCTGCACAGAGTTCAAGGCTAGCCTGGACTGCACAGCAAGACCCTGTCTCAAAGAACAAAAAGCAAAAAACAACAAACAAACAAGATAAAAATCCTGCACACCAAAAGAAATCACAGGCTACAGAATGGGAGAAAATCTTTGGCAGTTACTGTTTCAACTGAAAATTAATATCTAGAATGTACGAAGAACTCATAAAAACACCAAAACATCAAATAGTCAAATCAATAAACAGACAAATAAGTTGAAAAGACACTTTTGCAAAGAAAAAGTACAAGTTCAGCATGGTGGTGCACGCCTGTAATCCCAGCACTTGGGAAGCGGAGGCAGGAGGATCTCTGCGAGTTTGAGGCCAGCCCGAGTTACACAGTGTGTTCAAGATCAGCCTGAACTACATAGTGAGACCATGATCAAAAAGTTAAAAAAAAAAAAAAAAAAAAAGAATACCAATATGTATATGAAAAAATGCTCTAAATCTTTGGCCACTAGAGAAATGCAAATTAAAACTACACTGAGGTTCCCTCTTAACCCAGTCAGAATGGCTATTTTTGAGAATACAAAAAAAACAAAATCTTGGCATGATGTACACCTGTAATTCTAACACTTTGGGAGGCTGAGGTAAGAGAATCGTTAAGTTCAAGCTGAGCTGGGCAACTTAGCCCAGCAGTCCACCCAACCCCCCAGAAAATGGGGAAGGATGAGTGTGGGAAGGAAGAATGCTTCTACACTGCTGGTGGAATGTAAATTAGTACAGCCTCTTGGAAATCGGTATGGAATTTTCTTAAAAAACAAAAAGTGGAGCTACTGTATAATCCATTCCTTTGTGTACACTTGAAGGAATTAGTCAGTATAGTAGGGATACCTGCATACCTGTGTCAATTGTGGCACAATTCACAAGAGCCAAGATATGGAACCAGCATAGACTTCCACCAACAGATAAAGAAATATATACACAATGAAGTACTATTCAGCTGGAAAGGAGAACGGAATTCAGCTATCTGCAGGAAAACAGATGGAACCAAAGATTATCATGTTGAGGGAAAAAAGCCAGACTCAGAAAGGCAAATATTGCATGTTTTCTCTCTAACAGGTGAAACATTTAAAAGGTGACATGATAGTAGAAGGGAGACTATTAGACCAGAGGACAGGAATAAGGGGAAGGGGAGGTAAAGGAAAGTGACTGGTAATGGGGGATGACATGATCAAAATATATGCCTGTGTGAAAATATCACGTTGAAATCTAATATTTAAAAAAATTAATAGGTACTAATAAAAGATATTTAAAATGAAGAGATAAATGGAGAAAGGATTTTCATACAGATAAGGGGAAATAATTAACATTTTGGGGTGTAGAGGAGATAGGACTCAGTTTGACACAGATAACAATTCCAGGATTACCCTTGAAACATAGTGACAACCTTTCTTTAAGATGAAATATGAGTAAGATTAAAAGAAGAATCTGGAAGGGCTGGGGATTTAGCTCAGCGGCACAGCACCTGCCTTGAAAGAATGAGGTCCTGAGTTCGATCCTGATGCCAAAAAAAAACAACAAAAGAAGTAGAATGTGGAGTTTGTTCTATGTAGCTTTATTTTTCTGTGAAGTAGAAACCAGAGTGATGGGATGGTTGTATCATGAGGTTTAGGAAGACAGAGTAATAGTTATGGGAACTAGGAAATGTACTGGAAATGCTGAGCGCTTTCTGTGAATGGGGTTCCAGTCTTGACTGCGCTAAGTAGCTCTGAGAATTGGGCAGGTAATTTAACCTGTCTAAATATTTGGAGAATGAGAAATTTGGACTAGGCAATTTCTGAAGAAGTGATATAGAACTCAGGGCCTAAATCCTTTATCCTAAGTAATCTAACCCAATAAATACTTTTTCTCCTTGTAAGAGTTACTTTTGGAGCTAAATACAGACCATCTTAGACTACATCTAATGAGAAAGTCAACAAGGAAAATTAAAAGGCCAGTTGGAATAGAAAGTGAAAAAGAATGGAAGACTTAATTTTCCTCATTTGTTAAACATAACAGTAAACCTAGCAAAACCAAAGAACTTTCACAGAAAGATCCAGGAACTAAAGTAAAGAAAAAGATGAAAGAAATTGTCAGTGTCTCTGTGCCCTGTAGCTCCCAAGAATTTCTAAGTGAATTCTAGCTATGGGTTTTATTACCATGAAATTCCAGTCAGGAATTGAGGAAAATGACACAGCCTTAAGGAATTTCCTGTAAAGAAATCCACTCTCAAGACCTCTCTGCCGCAGCTCTGTTACTGGAAATGTCAATTTGGTGGCTCCCTGTCTGTGCTCTCAAGCATTTTGTTCGTAATTAAACTTTTTAGAATTTAAATTTAATTTTCAATTCAAAGTATGACTCAGCCAAAGTAGCTTCTTGAAGGTCATACCTGACTTTGCGCAGAGAGTTAAGACTACATTGATCAACCAGTGAGAAAGTTCTTTATATAAAAAAACCCCAGGATTAAAATATAAAATATATATAGAAAAAAAAACCATACCTATAGTAAAACATCTGAGATCTGCCTGAAATGCCAGGAAACCCAGAGCCCTAGAATTTGCTGAAAAGTTGTGCCTGTGTGGGCCTCCTGGGCCACTGCACCCACTCTGGGCTGACAGGGCCTCCAAGGAAGGGGAGGAAGAGCCCTCCAGCAGGAGGCCAGTTGCCAGCCCTTCTGATGTGTCATTGTTTGTTTACACTTCTGCTTTTTTTCACCAGAATGTGAGCTCCTGGGGGCACACAGAAGTTGTCTTATTCATCTTGTTATCCCTAGTGCCTAGAATAGTAGCCTGCACCTAGCAACTTCCTTAAATACCCTTATAGGATAAACGAATGAGGTAAATCTATGATTCAGTGTTCTGAATAATTAAAGGAAGAGGATAATTTCCAAAAAGTTTAAAGGTACAGGCAGTAATAGCTCTTTTTAGTAATGCTAACATGAAAGAAATAGCATCTGGCATCTTTGAAATTTAAGGAAAAAATATATATTCCTGAATACATGTATGAGCATATGTTGTTTTGATTATTTCCACACATCTGCCAGTCAAAATTTTCTAAAGCACCATCTTTATTTTGTTATTTCTCTGATTAAGGGCATATACCTGTATTAGTTTGGAGCCCTAGGACAATCTAATATAAAGTAAAACTTTCTGCCAGGCGTGGTGGTGTGCCTGTAGTCCCAGCACTTGGGAGGCTGAGTCAGGAGGATCACTGTGAGTTTGAGACCAGCCTGGGCTACATAGTGAGTTCCAGATCAGCCTCAACTGCATAGTGAGACCCTGTCTCAAAAAAACCAAAAAAACAAAAACAAAAACAAAAAAAAAACTAGAGCTTTCAATTAAATTCAAGATTTCATCATTATCGTGCAGTGGAAATTATGTAGAATTATATTATGTGAGCATAATTATTAATCAATTCATATTTCAATAGTACAGACAAATTCAACTCAATCTGATTTAAGCAAAACAAAAAAGAAAAAAAAAAGTCAGGCTCAAGCAAAACTGTCGGAACCTTGTCTGGTCCTCTCTCAGGTTCACTTGTTTCTTTTAGATATCAATCCTGAGGATTTCTCCTCTACAAGGGCCAGGCACCTCCAGATACCTCAGGCTCACCTTCTTCAAGTTTAGCAGTTCTCAAGTAGAGGAGATCCTCCTCTAGTTAACTTCAGAGGGGAAGTTCTGGAGAGGGCTCTGTTTGGCTTGACACTGTGTCACACACTTGCTCCTCAATCACTGGTCTAAAGAAAATGGAATATTTTGATTGGCTAGGTCAGTTTCCCAAGTAATGTCTCCCTTGCTGATTGGTTACATCTGCATTACATGCCCTGCTTTGTGGCCTATGGTAGAGCACCATGATGACTACTTCTTTAGAGGAGGGCAGATCTCCAAAGGAAGATGTGTGGCTGTTACTAGAAGGGAAACGGATAAACACAAGTACCTTAACAGTTCAGTCCTCCAGGGCTGAAGCACAGCACATATGTGCAGGTTGATGAGCCACCTGGCCGGGTGCATCATTCAAGGTGCATTCTGAATGGCTGATGTACGCACTGCGCCATGGTTAACTGAGTCTCCTTCCTGCTTAACCATATCTCACTATTTTCTGAGTTACAAATATCGTATATAATGCAACATGAACACTGCTGAATATACACTTTTGTTTATACAGCAAAAATTACCTTTTAGCCTTAGAATATATTTTTGAGCAGGGTGTTTTTCAAAGTTTGATCATATTTGGAACAGGAAGAAAGAATTGGTGAAAGCCATGCTTTTTGTTTTTCATTAATAAAAATAAATACCATGTATGTATCCTTCACGAAGTATTTATGTCACTTTCCCCATTATCTGAAAGCGGTTTGACTTTCAGATAATATGACTGAATACTTCTGTCAGCAGTGAGCTTATGGAAACATGTACCAAAGCAAAGCTAAGTCCCAAGTCCCAAAGATGCCCTTCAAAAGCAGCCATCCATTTAATTTGATCTATTAAACAAACTTAGCAGTTGGGATGCCCACACAGCAAGAAAGGCTGCTTAGAGATGGAATTTTGGCTTTAATTGGAATCTTCTGTCCTTTATTAGACAACCATAAGCTTCCAATTATGCACATCATCTTCATTTCAAATATGGGCTGATAAAAGCTTATAAATTTTCATTCTTAGCAGCAGATTTAGGAGTAAAAACAAGCTCCTGTCAAGAACAAATCTGAGAATTGGGGTAGGGGTACACACAAAAATATTATTGTTAATTGATCAAACACTGCGTACTCAAAGCTGCATTAGTGACTTTGTGCTATTAGAAAGAAATTCAAAAAATAATTGTCCTTGAAGAATTTACACAATATTAACATATCTACATAGTCAGGTAACTTTGCTGTTTCCACTAATGATGTAATGATTTCTCCTCCACTTTAGCATTTTATCTACTTTTCAAGGTCTGTCTTCAGAACTTTCTTTTAGGTGATTTAATTTAGTGTCTTGACTGTAAGGAGGGTTTTGCATTACTCTGACCCATCCATCCAAACACTGGATTTCAATTATCCCATTGAACATATCTTTATATGTTATCACTGCAGGAGGTGTCCAGCCCCCAAGACTGGTGAGGAGTCCCTTACCACCTGTCTTGCCCCTTCTAGTCCTCTAATGCACAATATTTTGAGAGGCAAACCAAATCCTAGTGCAAAAACTTAAAGTTTGTTGGGTTAAAAAAAATCAGGTACCCAATTTGAGGATATACTCCTAAGTGAAATAAATAAGTCACACATATACAAATACCAAATAGTTTCTCCCCCAAGACTGGTGAGGAGTCCCTTACCACCTGTCTTGCCCCTTCTAGTCCTCTAATGCACAATATTTTGAGAGGCAAACCAAATCCTAGTGCAAAAACTTAAAGTTTGTTGGGTTAAAAAAAATCAGGTACCCAATTTGAGGATATACTCCTAAGTGAAATAAATAAGTCACACATATACAAATACCAAATAGTTTCTCTCTTGTGAAAAACTAAAATAGTACTCAAGATCCTAACGGGACAATTAGCAAATAGGAAGAAAAGGACCAAAGGTGTAGGGACAGTGAGAAAGATAGGGAAAGGGGAATAAAGGAAAAGGAAAAAATATGAGAAAATGGAATTGTAACAATGTAACAATGGAATTAAAGTGTTTGAAGGGGGGAGGGGAGGAGGGGGTGAGGTACCAAAACCAAAGTCAGCTGGGTATGGTGGCACACATCTGTAATCCTCGCACCCTTGGAAGCTGAGGCAGGAGGATGGCAAGTTCAAGCCCAGCTTGAGCAACTGGGTGACGAAGGCCTGAGGACATAGTCCTTAGTGTGAAGGCCCTGGGTCCAATAACTGGTCCTGCAAAAACTAGACCAAACCTATGTCTCCAGATGCTGTGAATTTCTACACTGAGACTTCTCTTTGTGCAAACAGCCTTTTCCTTCTCACTCCCTCAGTTTAGCTCCTGATGAATGTTCATTCCTCCATTCACTAAACTCATACATCACCCTCTCAGTGAGGTCTCCTCCCTCTCTACCTTCTAGATTGTACGGTGTCTGCAATATTCATGCCTATGTTTATGATTCTGAGTGATAATAATTTGCTTTCATGTCCTTTTCCACACCTCGAGTGTAGCACCCAGGCCTTGCTTGCTTTACTTACCTTGGAATCCCAAGGGCCTGGTAGAATGCCTGATGCACAGAAGGTCCTTTACAACATTTTATGAAATGAAATGGATCATACTGAATCAAGTAGCAGTGTAGAGAAGGCTTCAGGTAGCTGGAGAACCTGAGCCCCGAGTTTATGTCAAGGTTGGAAAGGGGAACAAAAGTCTTAGAGAAGAGAGAAATGACAGGAACAATGGCCCCTAAGCTGAGTAAAGCGGGAATTGTGAGCTGGCACCTCAGGAAGGAAGGCTGTGGAGTGCGGAGTGTTGGGAAATGAGGTCAGAGAGGCCAGGTGGGGTCATGGGAGATCCTGGATGTGAGCAGAGGAGATGAAACATTATGAAACACGGGATGCAATTCAAGGAAAGGAAACTGTAGAAATGCGTGTGCACGAATTGAGCCTCCTCCCTCTATCACAGGTCTATTTTGGAGCCCTCTGGGTCGGTACAGTGGGTGTGTCTCGGATCCCTAGGGGCCATGTGTCACCTGAGCATTATCTTGTGGGGGTCAAAAGCCCTGGAACTGAGTTTCCACTCCAACACTAACGTTCCTGGTTGTGGTGAAACTGTCTTGTGCTCTCATCCGTAAAATGAAGGCAAGGTGAGCGACATGATTCAGTAGATTTCTTTCTTTTTTTTTTATCTCTAGGACTCACTGTATAGCAAAACAAGCAGTTCTTTGCCAGATAATTAGTCTGTCCTTCTACCTCAGCTTTATTCTCCCATTTTCTTGTATCCAAACTGCTCTCATCTCCACTAAGGTCAGCGTGGAAGCCTGGCCCTTCCCTCGCCCACGGAGTCCTTCCCAGCCCTCCACCTCTGTTCCAAATCTACCTCCAGCTGAGACCTTGAAGCTTTTCCCAACCTCTGCATGTCTGTCTGATTTTTACCTCTCACTTTTAAAAACATTTTGTCTTGACTTATTCTCTCTTTGTTTCACATTGATAATTGTTTTCTCCAATTAGCTTGAAAAATTCTTAAAATAAGTAACTGGTAAGCACAGTATTTTTTATTTCCCCTATTTCCCCCTCCCACTGGCATGAAGCTAAACATAAGATACTTAACAGGGTTTTTGAATATTCAACTTCATGTACAAAAATATCAGTGAAAATAGAAAACCCAAAGAATAATAAAAAAAAATCTCCTGGGCTTGGAATTGAATAATATACCATATAGATGAGTTATAGATGGTGTTTTGTCCTTAGCAAAAGACTCTTAAAATAGGATGTATCTGGGCATGGTGGCACAAGTTTATAATCCCAGCACTTGTGGAGGCTGAGGCAGGAGGACTGCCGACCTCTCCAAAAAAGGCGGGGGGATGTAGCTCAGTGTGAAGGCCCTAGTTCAATCTCTAGTACTGCCAGAAAAGAAAAGAGAGAGAGGGAGAGAGAGAGAGAGAGCGAGAGAGAGAGAGAGAAGGAAAGAAAGAAAAGAAAAGGAAAAAGAGATGAAAAGAAAAGAGGGTAATCTGTGAAGTTGCTGGTCTTAAAGAGTGGGTGGTACTAGGGCCTGAGATACCCCAGCCAACTCCAGGAAAAAAGAAACAGAGAACTGTTTACAGAGTGACTTTGCTGTTGGATGTGTCCCAACTGCAGCTTGGGAACATCGGGCAGAGTTACCACCCTGCTGCCATAACCCCTGCCAACTTGGATAAGAAGCAGCAGCACTGACCTGTCTTTTGGCTCCAGAACAAGGCAAGCGAGCACACCAGCAGGCATGGGAGGAAGAAGTTGTGAAATGAAAGACTTGGAAAAGCCTTGAGTGTAACTGGCTTCCTCTTTCCCTCTGATACTCGAGTCTCCTACCTCTTTGACACCGGCAAGGTGGTATAAACCTGAATTTAGCACTTTCCACGCAGTGGGGCTTGGGTCCCTGAGAGTATACCCTGGGATAATAGGGGACAGTGAGGCTCAGTTGTCTTCTTTTACTTATTTGTGGTACTGGGGATCAAACCCAAAGCCTTCACACTGAGCTCCATCGTGGCCCTTTTTAACTTTTGAGACAGGGTCTCACTGAGACAAGAAGTTGCCCCAGCTGGATATGAGCTTGATATCCTCATGCCTCAGCCTCCCAGAGTGCTGGCATTGCAGGAGTGCACCAGCACATCCAGCTAAGACTCAGTCGTTTTAAATTGTTTTGCCCACTGAAGTGATTGAAATGACTGCTCCTGGAAGGGAATTAGCTTTTAAATAACATAACACTTTTCAAACTCAGTGTTAAACACTAGCAGAAAGGTCACTGTTTAGAGTAGTTGTGTTCTAGACCTGACAGAACCAGAGCTCACCTGCGGTTAGGAACTTTGGATCCTGCCTTTTCTCTCAGATTGTCCCAGGTTGCTTCTGGTAGAAGATTCTGTGGGTACCTTGTACTCCCTCATTTCAGATAGCCCAGTGCCGTCAGTGATTACAGCAGAACTCTGCACTGCCCGGATCTGTCTCACTTTGTGGGGAAAGTGGAGGAATGATTCCCATGTGTCACCAACCATTTAGTCAGCACTCAGTTCCCGAGCAGGGGAAATGGTAAGATTTATTAGGGAAAGTATCTGTCATCCCATATAAATAGACGCACAGTTAGGCTGATACTGCAAGCAGGATGTACGTTTCTGGGTGACTGATCATAAGGAATTTATTACAAGAAGTCTTGAAAAAAATCAGTCATTTGAGAAGATGGCAAACACAAGGGTACACTTAAATTTCATGTAAAATATTCTTCAAAATAGTAATTTTTGCTATAATTGAGGTAGGGATCATTTTAGTTAAAATAATTTTTGCTTTAATTTTTTTCTTATTGAGAAAACATATGCAAGTGAGAAAACAGCTCAATAAGCTGGGTATGGTGGCAAACACCTGTGACTCCCGCACTTTTGAGGCTGAGGCAGGAAGATGGCTGTGAGTTTGAGGCCAACTTAGGCAACAGAGTGAGTTCAACATCAGCCTGAACCACATAATGAATCCCTGGGTCAAAAATAAAAACAGTAATAGAAAATAATACTAAAATAGGTCTTTCCTCACTGCTAGCCCTGATCCCCCTGCATTCCCTTGCTCAGATGTCTGCACTGCTGGCAACTTGATTTTGTAGTATTCAGAGCTCCCCCACGGCAGAACAAGAGGAATGTCCTCCTTTGCGGGTAACTCTTCTTTAACAATTCTTGTGATTTCAGTGACCCACACTCACTGTTCTTAGCAGATAAAACCAGTGTTGCCATCTTTCCATAATGGTTTTATGCCTTTTCCTTTATGTGTTTTAACATTACAGATACATTTTCACTGCAACCCCTGCTGCCTAAGCCTACTGCTCTCTGCTTGGAGGGAATCACTATCATGAAATTAGCATGTATCCTTTCTGCTCTGTTTTTATATATTTAGTACATATATGAATTGGTGTTTCATTGAATTTATTTATCCATAATTTTATTTTTACTTCATTTTTTACTGTTATGAATGGGCAACAACAAATATTCTGTTTTGTGTCTCTTTGGGCACATGTATGAGAGTTTTTAAAAGAATGTATACCACAAGAAGAACTGCAAGATCACAAAGAATATACACACCAACTTTCTTTGAAATTGGAACATTATGATTCTCCAATGTGGATTTTAAAAATACATACTCACACTGGCTGTGTATAAAAGTTCCCTTCCTTCCTCCCTTCCTTCCTCCCTTCCTTCCTTCCTTCCTTCCTTCTTTCTTTCCCTTTTTAAAAAATACATCCTTGCAGGGCTGGGGATTTGGCTCAGTGGTTCTGCCGCCTGCCTTGCAAGCACAAGGACCTGAGTTCAATCCCTGGTTAAAAAAAAACAAAGCCTTACCAATACTTACAGTTACAGTTCTCAGACTTCTTTGTATTGCCAATCTGATGGGTGTGAATAGTACCTTATCTTGGTTTTGTGTTTATTACTGAAGTTGAATGTTTTTCTTTTTCCTGCTCTCTCTGCCTCCTCCCTTCTCTTTCTTTTTTTAGTTTCCCTCTACTGCAATCAAATATCGATACCTTTGACAACTTTTCTACTGTTTCTAATGTTTTCTACTTGCTTTTTCTTATTGATTTATAGAGATCTTTTATTTTTCGGTAACTAATACCTAGTAATATGTATTATAAGTAACTTCTCGCAGTCTGTGGTTTGTATTTTCACTGTTAATGGTGTCTTTTTGTTTAATGGAGTTCTTACATTTTTATGTAAATTGTCATATGGTTAATGTTTAGAAACCTTAAAAATGTAATAAAGACATTTTTCTATGATTTCTTTTTAATTTTTTAAATTCCCCTCCATTCAATTAGAATTTTTAATCTATGCAGGGTGTGTATTTGCTTTGGAGGTCTCCGTCTTTCTGCCCTGCATGTAGTCCTCTAAGCACTCCTCTTGCTGCTGTGAAGCCCTGTCCCCTAGATGAAGATACCATACATGTGGGCCAATATCGATTCCCTTTCTTCTGCTCTTTTGGCTTATTTTAACATCTTTTTCCTCAAAACCACACAACCTCAAAAACTACCTCCTTATCGTTAACCTGCAGGGACAAATCCCCAATTTCTTTTTCAAAAATTTTTGCTAGTTTTGTCTTTTTAATCTTCCACATCACTTTTAAGAATTACATTGTTAAATTCCATAAAATGTTTTTAGGGACTCTGACAGAAATGACCATTCGTAGATTCATTGTAAATTCATGGGAGATATGTGAGATTGACACACATATATCTTTCCATCCCTCAGAGTCTCACTTAATGTTTTATAATTTTTCCTAATAGGTCTTGCATATGTTCCACAGGTATTTATTGTAAATGGGAGGACACACACACACACACACACACGTGTGTGCACATGTTATACACACAATTATTTCCTCTTACACCCTGATCATGTAACCAGAATCCTGAATTCTCTTGTTTGCTCTCTTATTTGTCTACACAATCTCCTACATTTTCTGTATAAATATGCACACAGTCTACAACTAAGGATGTGTTTCCTTCCTTCTTTCTAATTCATGCTGTTTAAGAAGTATTGCACTGGCTGGGAATTCAATTCATTGTTTAAGAGAAGCTATGATGGCGACAGCCTGGACTTTCTCCTGACTCTAAAGGATACATTTCTCATGTTTTACCATTGCCTGTTATGTTTTCTGTAGGTGTTTGGTAGTTCCCTGTGGAAGAGACTAGTGGTTCTACCTCCCATATTGGTTCTTCCTCTTT